ATAATAGTATATTTAAAACAAATACAGAGGTGTTTAGAACCTTACTGATGCACAGTTCTGTGCCCAGCCCCAGCACACTAACAATAGCAGCAACAGCAATTATGTAGAACTGTAAGTGAGTAGCATTTTTCAAGACACTGTAGGTACTGTATTAGGAGAAAAACCCCAAACAAACAAATTAGCAAAATGAAAGCACAGCACAGCACTTAATCACTTGGTTGTCTCATTTAAATCAGTGGGTCCACTCATTTTCGTATAATTATGCACGTTTTTAAGATATGCTTGGTATGTCACAAGACTGTATAATCTTATAATTGCAGCTATCCATTTCCCTTATGTTTGCCCTGCCTTTGGAGAAAGGACTGCTCTTTTGTTACTGGTTGTCGGGCAGCTGGCATAGAGGGGCGCAGGCTTGCAACAGGAGCTGGTAAGCGCGATGATGGGGTGCACAGTAACACTCTTAGTTTAAAATAACTAATTATTGCTGTAGAGATGGTAAAATACAGAAGCTGCTTGATCACACTGATACCACAGCAACTCTGCAATGGAAAAAGATAGGGTGGCCAGGTAAATGGCTTCTACCACCTCTGCAAATGTTGAAACCAGTAGAAGCCAGACCAGGTAGGTGTAATTACAAGAGGGGATCTGTGGCAGAGATGGGGGAGTGCAGGTGGTGGGTGAACAGTAGTAAAATGATGTGGTTTATGTTAGTGGTGTCCTGTCTTTTATTTACTTTAGTCTTCTGGCAGGATGTTTCTCTGTAAACATTACCACAAAACACTTAAACAGGAATAAAAGTAACTTTTATTGAAGGAATTTAAAAGTTGTCTCTGGAAACCATGCAAGAAACACCATGTGGACTCCACATCTTCTTCAAAGTAGAATGAACACAGCAGGGATCTGATACTGTCACCAAAACCAAATCCGAACTGCACCTTTCAATATTTATAATTGAAAGTACAAATCAAGGTTGCTGCCCAAAAGTGCAAATGTTTCACAACAGTGAGAGTTAAACTTGTCTTTTCAAACTTGCAACAGAATACATAGCACCAAATTAAAGCTGTAGTTCTGGCATAAACCAGCAACATCAGGACAATAGTGCTTACCACATATTGCAAAATATAACTTTCCAATCTTTAGACTAATTAGAGAGGCAGCCAGTAGCACCACTATGGTTCTGTCAGCATTTCCACAATAAAATCCCCTTTTCAGAGCTTTATAACGTGGCTGTAAAAAATTAGCTTCAGGCTGAAACTTGGCATGCCATGGTTCACCCCAGCAGCAAGTCAAGCTGTGCATGTGGTTATGTGTGTGGCTTGTTGATTGTTTCCTAAATACAAATTTTCATTAAAATTAGTTTTGCCACTTCTTGGAAGACAATAATAAAATAAACAATTTTTTAAATGAGACTAGTTACATTCTTTGTCAATCTCTTGCACCAAGCTAATTGTTGAAGTATGAAGGTTTGAGGTGAGAATCATACAGCCTTGTGACACTTAAGTTAAATCATCTCATGGGAAGTTTAAAGCAGGTTGTTGCACTTGTATGATGAACTTATTTCACAGGGTGTTATCCTGACTCCATGAAAGACATCAAGTGGTTTTGACAGAAAAGGGCCCCGCAAAAGCAGCTCACATGAGGGCACTGGCATTGAAATAGTCCCTGGAGCTCTTAGGACAGCTCTGCCACAGAGAAGGTCAGTGTCCCCTGAGCTGGAGGAGTGTCCAGGCCACTAAACACTGAGGTGGAGAAGCCATTATTGTCCTCCTCCACTTTGCACATAGCGGTGGTGTCGTGGTTTAAACCCAGTCAGACAACTCGTTCACTCACTCCCCCGCTTCTTTCCCTCCCCCTACTCCCAGAGGGATGGAGAGGAGAATTGAAAAGAACGCAACTCCCACGGGCTGAGATAAGAACAGTTTAGTAACTAAGGTATAACACAAATCACTACTGCTACCACGAATAATAACAATGATAAAGGTAATAAGAAGGGAAGAGAATACATCACCTCACCACCAGCCAACCGATAACTCGCCCCTCCCCAGCCCGACCAAGCACCTACCGATACCTCCTCCAACCCCGCAGCCTCAGCCCTTCTGGGTAACTCAGTTACATCCTGGGCATGACGTGCTGTGGTATGGAATAACCTCTTTGGCTAGCTTGGGTCAGGTGTCCTGTCTCTGCTTCCTCCCGGCTTCCCCTCCTCCCTGGCAGAGCATGAGGCTCACAAAGTCCTTGGCCAAACCAAAACATCATTGTTATCAGCTCTGTTCCCAGGCCGAAAGTCAAAACACAGCACTGCACCAGCTACCAAGAAGGAGAAAAATGACTGCTACTGCTGAACCCAGGACAGGTGGCAACATCAGCCTTTCCAAGGCTTGTGCCACATGGTGAACTGAGGGATCTCTTCCCATTTGTGGGTAGTAAATTAAACCACTTTTTGTTAGATTTCCATATTATGGATGAGCATAGTGCATTACTTCAGAAGTGCTCACATAATGTGTCTATGTCCACAAATTATGAATTGAACTGAGTAGCATAAATAATCTTACTGCAAATGTTTCTGTTTCAGTCTCACTGTGGGCTGTAGAAATAGGCAAGGAGTCAGGACACTACCATGCATCTGGCAATGCAGCAACATAGAGAGAGAAGTGAATTGAAATGAATTCAGAAAGACTGGTAAGATGGGCAAAGCTGACCCATTTTTCTTCAGGGGAGTCTTCCTTGGTTTAATGTGGTTTAAATTTTGTTGCATGTTTTGATTATTATTTCAGTGTGCTTTTAACAGTTAATAATAGTTGATTATTAATAAAGATAGGTAAAAATGCAAGCCATGGACACTAGCTTTGCTTTTTCCAAGGAAGGAAAAAACAAGAAATACTCTAAAAACACACAGGAGATGGAAAATGTCATCAATATGCACCAACGTATTCTCCAAATCATTCTTCAGTATAAGTGTCACAAAGAAAACTAACAATCCACATCCAGTATTCTTCGATCAGTGAACGGTTGAAGATGAAAATTAATATTATACAGTAGAATAATCAATTATAAGACAATTCAAAAATCTATTCATCATGGACTCATTTTTGCAGTGGGTGCATGAGATTTGAAAGAGAGAAAAAGTGAGTGAGTAAGCAGCACTGAAACAACTCACCAGTTTCCCAAGCACAGAGCTTTCTCACCAAGCCAAAAAGAGAGCGGATGGCTGATGAACAAGTGAGATATTTGGGCCCAGCCCATCTCCCTGAGTATGAGGAGTCAGCTAAGAGAGCTGCCTCTCATGCAGAGTTAGGCTTAGGCTCTCCGTCAGATCAGCAGAATTTTGTTCCAGCTTTAATTTTCTCCAAGAGTAGCTGCCAGGATATCCTTGAACACATAAACCCAATTAAGCCAAGCTAAACTGATCATTAGGCTTTCAAGTATGTGTCTGCTGATATTTTATAAGGCTGTAGTCTACTTAAAGTTTCACCTCCTGCAGACACCTGAGGTTGACCCTAGGAGTCCACTGAAAAAACAGGCAGAGGCTCCTGAATTTCTGGAAGTCTTTGAGCGTCTCACAGTTACAGAGGCTGTCCAGACCACTGTGGCTCACAGGATAATTACCCCAAATTTCTTTGTACCCCTTCCTGCTGCTGAGGTAGCACCCACTCTGAATAGCTGCTGTGACTTTGACCTACAGCTGTGGGCAACCTAAGAGTATGCAAATGGAAAAACGTTTGAAGGGGCATAGGAGACACGCAGATGCTTCTTCAGGCACAACCTGCATTCCATTTGTCACCTTAAAGACCTGTTTAAATTTACTGGTTTGTCTCTGTTTTCAAAGCCTGTCATGCGCTGGCTGCGATCATGCAGCTGTTTAGCAATTGCGAGCACCTAGTGGAAAGCAAACAAAACGTAGTGCTTAGCATCTCACTTCTTCTTCCGAACCCACCTTCCCACTCCAGTCCCAGCTTATGTAAATAGCTTGCCTTTACACAAACAGATCTAGCTCTCCAGCATGGAATACTGGCACAGTAGCTAGACACATTGTAAAACTAAATAACCCAAATCTGCTGAACTGAGAGGGGATGCATTGCTCCCTAATCTTGATGCTTTTCTGTGATGTGACACAAGCGTGACTTGTGACTGTGTGGTCAGAAGCCAGTTTCACTTGCCCTAGCTAAGAAACCAGCATCGGTTCTGCTCATCCAAGCTTTGTTTTCTCACAAGCTTAGTTCATACTTAAATATGATGCAGGACTAGGTGAGCAGATACATCAGAGAACACCTAAGGGGATTTTATAGGTCAATACCCCCAGCCATAGCTAGTCTTTATTAATCCTCATGCTCACTTTTGCCTGTCTGGTTAGAGACCTCATGAACATGAAGACATTCTCCTTCTTTAAATGCTGTATGCATTTCAACATGCTTTAGCAGGTCTTCTGTGTTAGTAAATATCTCATGTACAGTTTTGCTTGAAGAGGTGTTTGCTCTCTTTGATCCCCTTTGGCACTACTCAAAAGCCTGCAGGCTCAAGTCCTCTTTTCTTAAATTTGGGGATGTGCTGACTAAACTACATGACTAACCAAATGCAGTCAGGAATGCCCTTACTCCTTGTGGGAAAATGCTGGAAACTTACATGAAAAGAATGTAAAAAGTTTATCAGCACATTCCACTTGAACAAAGATTTTTAAATGCAACAATGTACTATAATAGAGGAACATAATTTACCAATATCATTGGTGGATTAGTAGGACTTTTAAGCCATCAATATCCATGCTATTGTGCTGACATTGCCTAGGACTGTGTGGCCTCTACAGCTTCACCAACTAAATAAGCACTTCGTAATATTTAAAGATATCCTTTGCCTATTTGGAATCCCTTTGTTTGTCTGTTTTACCTGAAAGATACTGTCGGACTCCTTTTTTCCTTTACCAGTCCCTGCTCATGTTTTCAAGGAATCCAAACCTGCAGACTGCAATTTTGATTTCTGTATTTCTACAAGAATCTCCTCTATGATTTCTGCAAGGTTGTACACAACCTGACTGAATGGGAACCCAAAGTCTGCTGCCTGGGACTTTGTTGAGATCACAGGAGAATGAAGGAAGTAAAATATCAAAATAGATCTTGGCTACATAATGCTGGCTACCAAAGGAAATAAATACAGAGAGCTGAAATCAGAAGTGATAAGAGGTAAGGCAGGGCAAGTACTTCTATCATAAACTAGTCTGAATTAAATAATTAAAACTAAAGATAGAATCTGGTATAATGAAAACGGAAACACAGAAAATGATAGGGCAAAGTATTTTCCTTTTTGCATCTCAGCTTCCAATTATCATTAAATATGTACCTCAGGCTGACCCAGCCTTACATGCACTGGATAGTTACTGGATAGACTTCTGCCTGTGACTGGTCTTGCAATAGGGAAGGGCTTGAAAAAAAATGGAAGGGAGAGGGGTGGTTTTTAAAATGTCTGTATTTGTATTTAAAAACAAACAAACAAAAAATCTCATAATATTATTCATCAGAATCTAATAATTTCAAACCACTATTGGCATTCTTGCCTGACTTTGCTGAAACCTTGCATGACTGCACTGTATCAATTGCATTGTCCAGGGGGCTGTTACAAGTTTCCCTTGTCAGTTTGTGTACTTCAAATCCTTCCAGGTCATGCTGGTAGGGAATGGGGTGGCTCTGGGGAAGTCAGAGTGTTGTGCTAGTAATGAATTTGGCTCTTTGTAAAAAGGGGCTGATATCCCTCTTTTCCCGCTGTTACTCTCTCCAGCAGGAAACATTCATTTCCAATGCAATGACTCATAGAAGTCTCTTAATCTTTTTTGTCTGAAGCTCTGACTCTCCTGATGAAGAGCAAAAGCTGAATGCTACACAGCAACATAAAGGGGATGCCAGTTATAATTAAGGTAAATTTAAAGCACTCTTCCATGTATGTTAATGCTTTATGTACAGCTATGCATGCAGCTAAAGGTAGAAAACAGGCTGGCAAATAGAAAGAGATTAAGTTCATAGCAAAGGCTGTGTGTCCCCAAAAGGAAAGTATTTAAAGATTGGGAATTGCTTCTTTCTTTTACCCATGTTTCCCTCCCAACTCTATCAGCCAACTTTCCACTAAGTCTTGCTCTGCTTTTAGTTATCAACTTGTTTCTTTTTAAATTCTATTCGTGGGAAAAGACAGTAAGTAGACAATAGTGGAAAACAGAATTAGATAAATATCTCGCAGTCTTTCCTGAGAAGCCTTTCCTAGAGAGCAACAACAGTCTAGATAAGCTTTAACTTTTCCTTTTGCTTGCTTTAAGGACAGTTGTGAGATGAATGCTTCCAGTGTATGCTTCGCTGTTTATGTATAAATGTAAACTTCCTCCCCTGAGAATCACCCCACAAAGAAACAAATAGTGATGAAAAAAGGTTTGGGGGATGTATTTGTAAATGATAAAAATTGTGTACATCCATAGTAACATCTTTTGGATAAAGATTTTTAAGGCAGCCTTTTTACTTTCATATGTTGGAAAAGTAAAACACAGCAATTGCTTTTTTTCATAACCAGTAACTACATAGCTAGGTATGCTGGGACAGGGAGGGACAAACAAACCTAAAGATGACAGATCTGTACAGAATGCTGTTTGTTAGTATGCCAGATCTTATTACAGAGCAGTGGGAGGCCTTGTACACTACGTACCAGCTCTATGGGGACCTCCATATTTAAAACAAGAAGAAAAAAATGTGATTTGAAAAACCCCTCATGGGCAGCCTTCAAAGGCACAGACGGGCTCTGACTGGATTAACATTTATTGACTGTTTAAGCCTGCTTTTTTGCTTCAGGACAGAGATACACAAGTTTAATTGCAGAGGCTGTTCTGCTAACTGATCACCAGAGTGGCAACCAAAGCTTTACTAATCGGTCCTTCATTAAAGAAAAGTCTCTATTACAAAACAAATTAAGCATGCTCTGATCCTAACCTACAGGTCCAATGGCATTACAACAAAGTTTAAGCTGTTAGAGCACTGGAAAACTTATTAAGGTTTAGCGCTGAGATAGCACTTTTGTATTGATTTTACAATACACAGGTATTATGATTTATGGAGTGCTAGTGTCACTCTAACAAGCTGAAGGACACACAATATCATCTCCAACATCATTAAAATTCAGAAGCCTCCAGAACTAACTCATCAACCACTGTACATTGTCACAGACTATAGAGCTGTATTCCAGTTGGAAAATGTCCTTTGCCTTCTGGACAGTTGTCTTCCTGAATCGTTGAATTAAAAAAAAAAAAAAAAAAGAAAAGAAAAAAAAAGAAAAAAAAGAAGTTATAAAAGGTAACTCAAACTCTGTGTGTGTGTTTTAAAAATTAACTGATCACAAATGTTCATGTAATAGAATGACAGTATTTACCATCACCTATAGCAAAATTAGTTTTTCTGCCTTCAGTTGCCCAAATACTGAGGCACTGGTGAGTATAAGGGTTATTGGCAATAGCTGGTTAGTGGAAACTGGAAGGGGAAGGCTTTGACGCGCCAAGTGACAGCTTTGCGCTATTTTACCTCGTTCTGTATTCGGAATGCTGCATTTTATCGAAGTTTGGGTCCCCACCCTGCCTCACACCAAAGCCACCCACCCCTCCTTCCCGCCCTCCCTCCCAGAAGCGTCCGTTCTCGCTCTTTCCCCACAGAAAGACAAGCCCCGGCTCCGCGCTCCCCTTAAGAGCGGGGAAAGCTGCCCCTCAGGTAAACAAAACACATCTCCGCCGCGGAGACCCGCACAGCAGCCACAGGCCGCTACGGCGGCAGCTGCTCCCGGCCCCGCCGCTACCGGCCCCGCTGCTACCGGCTACTGCCCGGCCCCGGCCCCGCGCCGCCCGGGCCGTTCCGCGGTGCGCTGGAGACCCCTGTCGGCGGCCGGTAGCAAGGCCGGACCGTGAGCTGGAGCCTGGGCCGCGGGCTCCGGGGCCGCTCCGCCCGCCGCGGGCAGGAGCCGGGCTGCTGGGAGCGGCGGGGAGAGCATCCCGAACGTGAGCATCCCAATTAGCGAGAGCACGCTGGGCCCTCGTAACTTAATGTGTGTTTTCTTTTCAGTGTATGTCTGCCATCCCCTCGGTGCAGCAGTAGAGCCTCTGCTCATTACACCCCGGTTCTGAGCTGGTAATGCCAAGTTAGTCTGTTTATAGCCAGTGGGGAATGCACTGAGTAGAGGCACAACTTCACCTTTCTCCTAGCAATATCTAAATCCTTCTCCTGGAATTTTGGAGCTCAGCCCGTTGGAAGCATGCAGATAACAACGGTATCTGCAGCAATGGAATGGCCTGGACTAGCTGAAGGAATTTAACTTGGCTGAATCCTCTTTTATTACCCTGCACTGCACTAAGTAGTCACTATTTGTAATTATATCAATGGGAATCTTCAAGCCTGGTTCTCTTCTGAATTACTTTTCATACGGCCCACATGTGGTCGTCTGCACCAGCACTACCAAATCACTAAAAGAAGGAATGTAGAAACGACTACACAAACCACCTGAGTACCAAACCCCTTTTTTTTTAATAAGGCAGCATAAGATACCAGGTATTCTACAATAAACATTTCCATTCTTTTGCATGGTGATCTCAGGTAGCTGTTATTTCCTACTATAATTCATGAAAAGTGTTGTATCGTCATTACATTTGCTCTATGGATATAAGCAAATATAGAAACACGCGTTCTGCTGCTGATCTTTTGTGTGCGCAGCTCCCCTTACAAGCTGTGGGAATGTTTCATGTGAAAGGACTTCAAAGTCAGGCGATTGGGTAGCTAAGCTTATTAGAAAGCAGCCTTACCTTGAGGAGTTACAAAGTGGCCTAAATTGGCAAAGCCTTGTGATGTGCCCCATGTTTCTGTTTGGCACAGATTTTTTTTTTTTTCCTTCCCAATTCTGAAATATCTGAATATTTTTTAGCTTTGTGTACACTTGAAAATGTCATTTAAAGATATAAAATACTCCCTAAATTGCTTTTCTAAGTAAAGTTAAACTGTGGCTTATTGGTTACTTGTATCTAAAATGACCCCTAAAGCTCCTCAAATTTACTTCTTACACTGATGTATTCAACCAGGAGGGTCTCCTGGTCTCTAGTTGCATCACTGCAGAGCAGAAGTGTTCAGTGTGAACAAGATCAGAATCAGTCCAAAATATGAGAGTAAAACTTGGAAGGGACTGAATGAAAACGCTCACAAAAGTATAAATTAGCATTTCTGTCTGCTAGGAATTGCAGTACTCCTCCTTTTTTGGATCTCTTACAAATCTACTAAAAATCCCTCAGGACTCAAGTGGTCCTGCACAATGCTACTTCTAGTATGTACAGCAGAGTAACAGCTAAAATAATAAATTATTGTAAATCTTCTTAAAATTATCAGAATGTATACCCCAAAAAGATTAGATGTTTTCCGAATCAGTGTAAATATGTATTAGTTAATGGCTTAGTAGAGTGAAGTTGTTTATATTTTGTTGCTTATATTTTTAACAGCATATTATTTCTAAGTAAGGAAGAAAAACCTTTTCTTTCCAGTATCACCAAAGAAGCCGGATTGCAAAATTTAATCAATCCTAAAATTAAAATTAGGAGGCTGGATCGGCATGAAAGCAACTGTGTTATAAGTCAGCGTTAAGATGTTATTGATAGAAGAGCTAATGCAATACATTTTCCTCTGTCACACATTTCTGGCCCAAAGCAATTTGCCAACTAGCTAACCACCTCAGCATAAACACCGGGGAGCCCCCGCTGGGCCCTGGAAATCCCGCTTGTCTGCAAGTGCACAATATACAAGGCAAATCTCCATAAAGCTCGGTGCCACAGTTGAATACAAACACTCCTCAGGTCCTGCTGTGACTTGGCATACCCTGCCGGACAGCTGGAAACTGAGAGGAAAGGAGCTGCTGCCAGTAACGGGTTACAAGGGATTGTCAGTGCAAAGTTTCCTGGAAACAGGCAGCCACTGACATTATTATTTTGCTGGAGGATATTGATGTGATATACAAGAGATATATATACATGATACATGCTTGCATTTGACATATATTTGACAGGATATAAGGTAAAAATTATAGAGCCTTTTTGATACATTCTGTGTTCTTGGGCTAACGATTAAACCCTGAAAACACAAACAGGATTTGTCCCAAACTTACGTTTTACCTAACGTAATTCTGGAAATCAGGTATTGCCCCAAATGTCATTTTATTATGTGTATCAAAAAGATTTAGCATACTAAGGGTCATGAATGTGTATCTAACACCTTTGCAGCTGCAGTTTACTGTAGATAGACTGCATACAGTCACTCTTTCATTTATTTTTTTTTTTCTTGGAACCACTTGCAATGAATTGCTACCAGCAATCATTAAAAAAAGATTGCTCTTTTTATGTAGCTTGAATATACAAAATGGTACTTATCTGCATTCCAGGGTAAAGAATGCTTGAATGACAATTCAAAGATAAAAATGAAACAGCTAAATTAGGGATTGGCATACTCAATCATTGTTAGTCTAATGCAATATAATTTTTAATGTAAAGAAGGTACATTTTCTAACCTTGAAGAAAAGCATGGCGTTCTGTATGTGTTGTAATAAATTAATGCAATAAAAACAGGTACACTTATCCTGTAAAGCAGCTTATTAACCAGACTGCTAGTGTTGCAAAATTCAGCATACAGTAAACAATACTTTTTTTGTTGGAATAATGACATCCAGTTTATTCTTTTATACTATGCAGCACTTGGGGACCACATCCATTTACCAAAATAATACCAAATTAGTACTGCAAATATTGAAATCAGACCTTTCAGACTAACCAGTGGCCTAATTTTCTCTTCAATCTGCTCTTAATCTCAATTCATCAATAACACTGCCTTATTATAGGACTTTGACAGCGAGCTAGGGCTTTTGATAAATTATACATCTCAAGCCAGATTTAAAATTTGAAGCTCAAGTGCTAATTATCTGTACAGGCCTAGTTAATAACGAGATTTCTTGTTAAGTATCTGATCACAGCATGGGCATCATTTGTCAAGAACCTCAAGTCTACCTTGGAGACTAGCTCTTCGAATTCTCCCTTGCCTACCATATGTAAAATTGGGATCTTTGTTTCTATAATAACCTTTTATTAGGAAGCTGACATAATGATTAAGTTCGCTGTAGACACATACAATGAGTTAGACAATTACCCTTGCTGCTTTAAACTACTCAGGCTCCTAGCAAGACAAAATAATTAATATTGAATTTTAATTTGATGTGTTCCACATTTAAACCCCAATTTGCAAAGTACACCTGGAAGGCTGCCGCTGTTTCCTTGCAGTTTGTGCTGATGAAATAAAAGCTCCTGCCGTTTGAATGTAAAAGCACAGAAGGCATGATGCACCACAATCACTTCTCAGTGGAGCAAAGAATTTTCGAGCATTAATGGGAAAGGTAATTACCTAGGTCTAACTTTATAGCCTTTTCTCTAATGAAACTATAATCTCCCAGGCCTACATGGTTTAAGCATTTACATGATTTTAACGATTTCAGTGCCATAACAGTTGTCACACATGGTAATTTAAAAACTCAGTGCCTTAAAACAAAGATGCTAATTATATTTCTATATTTTTATTATTGAAATAAAACTGTACTGTGCGAAGTGACAGAACCATAATAAAAACAACCATGCGCTGCATTGCCTAAGTGGAAGGAAGGAGGGTGGGGGGCATATTTGTTTGCAGGAAAGAAGGCGCCTGAGAGCCTTCACAACTGTACCTGTTAACTGTTCTGAGGGGTTTAATTCCCCTGAGCTTTGGCAGTGGGGCAAAGCACATCATATGCTCCAAGGACCTTCAGTTGCTCTGACTTCAGGTAAAACTCCCATTGTGCCAACTTGTGTAGATGTTCCCTTTTTAAAATACAAATGGTTCTCAGCCATCATCACCTAAAGATTCATCGCCTACACGCATTCTTGCCCCTGTAAAGTGGAGTCCTGGAGCTCTTCCCTCATACCAGCCCAGTACTCCTGTGCAAGCGTTATGGCAAAGCTGGTGGCAAAACCGTCACTGTAAATGGTGAGATCTTTTTTCCACATATGGATGAGTTTGAGCCTGAAACACGTGGGGAAATGGGCTTATTGCCTGAAGGACTGGGTGGATCAGCCATTTGCAGTGTGTATCCTGTAACATGGTTCCAGCTTTTCAGGGTGGTGCCTCCCGGGGTCTGCTGGGGTGGGACAGGGCTCCCACCCAGCTCACATCATCCACTATTCACAGCTTTTGCAGCATCCCCTCTGCATCTCTCTGCTAGCCTCTGCTTTTACTATAACAGTTC